CTGGAGACTTGCAGCTGTGACGGCTACACACCACTATCTCATGGAGGAAACATGACAACCAACTCTTGCCACTCCATCATCCTCCTCTGCAATGGCCAGAGCCTTTAGTTGTTTCAGGAGCAGACACAGACCACCATAAAGAAAGATGCATCTGGTGGGGTATTCCACAGGGGAAGTACCACTACAAGAGGTAGCAGTAAATGGACTGACCTTGAGCAGACAGACCATTTATCTCCTTTCTGCAATCCCAGTATGACAGATTAGATGCTCTCTCCAGTAAACTGGAGACTGATGCTGTATTAATCGAGAAGAATTACTAGCCATGGAAGCTAAATTACTTTTCAAATTCAGTACACCCCTGCTTTGGGGATTTTGTTGGTGTTTGGGTTTTTCTGCTCATCTTGCATACTTCTGAGTGTACACAGACTACCCTTTATGGCTTCTTCTCACACTTCTTGCATTCCTCAAAGGGGTAACTTGAGCACAGAGATTAAAAGAAGTTAACATGCTTGCCTACCTGGATCTGGTGAAAAAGCTCTGCATATCTTGCAGTCTGCACCACTTCTGCGAAGCCAAGAAACCAAAACCTCACTTTCCCCAAGGTGCACTCTGTTCCTTGCTCTGACTTAAAGACTAGGGAGAGCAACAACAAGCCAATGACAGCCCCAAAGGCAACAGCTTTCACATGATTACTCCCCTGGAGTTTAATCTAACCTTCTACACCTGACCCAAGACCTCTTGGAAAGCTTCTGACCAGTAATAGTAAATTTGGTCTTCACTTTATGCTCTCTGTGTAGAGCCTAGAGAGTGAAGGTCTCACCCTAACACTCCTTAGCCCTGGGCTGGTTCATATTCAGCCCCTCAGTGTGGACCTGGCTGGCCGGGCACACCTTGTATTAGCAGCCTTAAACTGAGCAGGATTAACTGCTGGGAAGGCACTCGGCACCCGGCCACGGCTGTGTTTACATTAGAGAAAATGGACCTCACAGAGACAGTTTGCAAACACCACAAGACGAACTTTTGTAAACTCCCTTGGTTTAGTCATCTTTCCCCATCTGTCAGAGAAGTTTAAGTGAGATTGAAAAAACACAGGAAATTACTGTGTATTCCAAGTAGTCATGACTGAGCGGCTTGGCTGTTACATGGGATGCCTTGTGGAAGATTCGCATCTCCTAACATTTCCAGCAGGATCCTTTGCAACGCTTTCCTGGCTACGATCGCTTAGCAGGCTCTGCACACCCTGCCAGGAAAAGCCTCTGGGGTGCTTTGTGCAGCTGTGGAAAAACTCATACCAGTACTGAGAAGCCCAAATGGTGACCTCCAGAAAGCAAGGGCAGCCCCTTTCTTCGAGGTTACAAAGCAAGGGATGGACAATGAAAAGGTCAGGTCCCTCTGGGAGGCTTCCACACCAGGGTTATATTCACTGAATAAAACACCAGATGAAATCCTATACCCCACAGTAGTTTAAACCTTTCTCTGACGTGACTGACTGGCTTTTTTTTCGTGATAAAACTCAAGAAACTTCCTATATCAAGATTCCTGGCATGAGTAAGCAGCAATTGCATTTGCTATACCTCTTACTACGCCTTCAGCTCAAGAAGGCAATGAAAGGACACAAGTCAAATCCAGGCTAGAAATCACCTTCACATCTGTACTTCAGCCATAGCCCTCTAATCACCAGATCACTACCACAGCAGCTGGAAAAGCCATTTAGGCGGTGGGGGTGTCACAACTGGCATGAGCCCCCAGAGGGGCCATGAAGCAGCTGCGATACACTGCACCCTGGTTAGTTTGTTTAAATTTTAGCTCATGCGGTGGCTCTGAACCAACTCCCTGCTACTCCTGCACAAACTCAAAAGGAGGTTACATCCACCAAACCATCCTGGCAGTGTGTCACGGTCAACAGTGAAAGGACAGATGGTAGATGAGGGATGCAAAAGGAGGATGGAGAGTGCACAGAGAGATGAAATGTGAAAAAAGTCTCTACCACAATTTTGCTTTGGGGTGTAACACCTTCAGGACTGAAAGAAGCACTTCATTTCTGCGGCTCAGCCTGTGTCTGTTTTCTCTCTGGAACCAGCTGCTATGCTGGCACTGCACATCGGTGCCAGCTGAGGCTGTCTGAGTGCTGGGGATGCTTAAGTAACCATGTTAAGCTGTTTCAACAGATTAGCTAATACAGTAAAAATAGTAAAATTTTACCAAAAACAGTGAGTATGAAGCACAATGATATTATGCCATGTGCTTTGAAAAAGGAACACAATTTTTTCAACTCAAATGAACTGTGCGTTTTCAAGAGAAATGTATTACCTGGATTCTGAAGATAACACTTCTGTTCCTAGCAACAGTAAAATAGATGTGACAACAGAAACATCTTTTTCTGTTGCTGTTTGCCATGTGCTGAAAGGCAAACACTTTATAGTCTTACACTCTAAAACCAGAGTGTCATGATAGAGAGTAAAGCAATCTCCCTAAAAAGAAGCTTTCTGTCCAGTTCTTCCTGGCAGGTAGGCCAGGATCAAGTTCAGGAACATTCATTTAGCAGCTATGTGTGGGACTCAGATGAAAGACACTAGTATAATCTTGTAAAAGACCTATTTCTTGAAAATCTGTGATACTAGCAAAATGTCCTTAGTACTGGAGTGTGCAGTGGGGAAAAGGCCTATCAGTTTTACAGTCTTCACATGTCATAAATCAACCCAAATTTAAACCAGGAAATCCATTCAGCCCAGCCCAGGCTGGAAATCCTATCAAGGTCTACTGCATTTCTGGCAATTGGACAAGGGTCTTCCCAACTCCCTTTTCTAACATGAAATACCTATGTCTCTTCTGAGGCAAACAAGGCAACTCACTGGACTCCTGAGTCCAATACATATACCATCAGTATTTGCTATTATTTTGTGAGGTAGGGTCCAGACAAAGACCACTTATCCACAGGCCAACCTTCATCAGATGACATTTCATCCCTTACAGACCCTTATGACAATAAGATTGTCCAGCCAGAGCTGTAACAGGTTAATTTCTACATGTCCCTGGAACTAAAGAAGCCATTAGAGAGGCCAGACTAGACAGAGTTCTGCCGATCCATCACTGTAGTTCGTGCAAATTCAACTGAGAAGCCTCTGCGACAGCTTATGTGTGCAGGCTTGTTCTTGAAGACCAAGGAGCCCCTTAGGGTCAGAAAGCTTTCAGCCCCCCCAAAAGTGTTAGGTGATTTGTGGTTTGGGCAGCATTTGGCCAGGTGTTTTCCTTGGCTGAATGTGCAAGTCTGCAGAGAATCTGTTGCTTCTCAGTGCACCTTCAGACTGTCCTAAAAGCTCCTGAAGCCCCAAGAAGGCTGAGCTCCCTCATGGACCCAGCTTGAGGGGCACAGTAAACTGCCATGTAACCTCTTCAGCAGTGAGCAGTTTGATTAAACGGCATTTTCTTTGGTGAGGGAGGGGAGCATGGGGGAAAGGATCCAGTAGCCATTGGAGATGTAAAATTAAAATGAATTTTGGTCATTTTAATAAATATATATCAAGGAAATTTCACTTTACTACAACAACACATTAGTATACAAGCATCTAATATTTAAGCTTAAAACATCAAGCGTTTATCAAATATTGGAAAAGAGCAGACATTACTAAACTATCTGGGTATAACACAAGAAAAATCAGTTTTTTTAAAAAATTGGTCCTTGTGGACAAATGTCTAAATTACGATCCTACTCATACACTGTATGAATGAGATCTATATTTAATATTATTATTATTAATAAAAAAGCTTCTGTCTTGGAGAAATCAGGTGGGACTTATACTTCCTTTATTTGTCACTCTTCACAATGATAACCCTTACAAACTTATCAGTTTAAACTCACCTGACTTCATAAAGGTTATCACTGATTGACATCCTGCTCTCTTTTGTGGTCACTTCAGCTGCAGGGGGGGGGCTTTTTTCCAGTGACCACTGGTCCTTCTGACAAAAAGCCATCCAGTTTGCAAATGTGGCTGTGGGGTGCACACGCTACCCAAAATAACTGTGGCCCCAAAGGATTCAGGCTGAACCCACGAAACCCAGAGCAGGAGGTCTCAGAAACAGAGACCTGGCTGACTCCAGTGCCAAGCCAGGGGAGCTCGGGGCAGTGTCCCCCCAGCGATCCTCATGCCCTGTGCTGAGCTGGCTGTTCCCCCAGCACAGAGGTGGTTTCCACCCTTTGGACAAGAAGCAAGGGAGCATGTTGCTTCAGTGCACGATGCTACGGGAGCAGCCAGCTATTTATGAGTAAGCTGTGGCTTGGATGTGGCTATTTTGCTGAGCGCATCCTGCCAGTTGTTATAGGGACTGTGGGAACTAATTAATTTGGTGGATCTAAGACTCACTCTCAGTCCAACCACGAATAATGTCTTCTGGGCATTTTAAACAGCACACTTTTGCAAACCACCTACCTAGGGATGAATAAATGTTGTACTCAGCCACTGAAATCTCAGCTCATTTCTCCAAAATTTTCTTTTTTAAAATTAAACTCCTTACATTCATTCAGATAAAACCGTGTTTAACGTCACATTATTAATTAACATTGTGCTTCTTGCCTTCTTTTCTTGTCTTTTTTTAAATCAACAGCAAAAGTCATAGAAAACTCCCGCATGCTTTTGCAATCTAAAAGAGAGAAATTATGCAAAACAGAATAAAGTATAAAACATGCCACTGGTTCATGAACTTCATTATACGAAGAAGGAAAAAAAAAGAGCCCAGCAACAGACAGTTGCCATAGAAACACTCAAGCATCGAATGCTTGTTTACAAGAGACATCTCTCTATTGTTTCTTAAATCCCTTCCTAAGGATAGCAAATCAAAAAGCAATTGAGCATCAAAAAGGAAGAACAGAGATGTTTGAATAGGAAGTTGAACTCAGTACTTCAAAGGTTAAAGGTTTCTAATAATATTGATCCACCCTGTGGGTTTTTTTTTTTAATCTCTGTTTAGGTTAAATCCCTGCTGTATCACTGATTCATACTTAATTTTCACGCTGGCAAAAATTAAGACAAAACGTAAGGCACCAAAAAAAAATCTGCCCTGTATAACAAGCCTCATTAGTTATTACAGCCGAGGTGAAAACATGCAAGTACTTGAGCTGCATGTCTCATTCTTATTAAGATCCCATAAACAGGTTATTTCTTTATGCTATGTCCTATTTTGTCAGTTGAACAAGACGCTGAATCCAGGAATTCAAGAGTATCAGTACAAAACATAAGGATGGTTTATTCCTAGTCCATGAAGACAGTCCTTTGTCAGAAGGAACACCGAGTTACAAGGAGCACATCATCCTTGCTGGTAGCATCAATTTGTTTACCAGACTTCTAATTCCTTGGTAAACATAATGGAGGTTCTTCTTAATTAATGGCAGACTTCTTGGGGGCGGGGATATATAAAACGATATGTTTTCCCCATCTGGCTGGTTGGCATTTTCAGTAATGAAAGCTACACCATAGCTACACCAGTCTCAGCAGTAACGCAACTGCGTCCTTTATGAAGTCACCATATTTATAAATAGCCCGCTGATGCAGATCACAGAGTATCTTTACGCAATCTGCTCTCCAGTCATTTAGAACTACATGCCATGTTTGTGGCATGATTGTACCATTTGTAGAAAACTATAAAAAATCCATTCAAAATAAAAATTTGATAGAGAAAGAACGTGCTGTGCATGCTTCAACAGAGCAAGAAAGATGCCTCATATTTTACTTCCTTTGTTGCAGCACATTTTATTACTTGGTAAAGATTCCTTTTTCCTTAAGGATTTTTTCCAAGATTCACTTACGTTGCTCTTGTCATTACATCCAGTCTCAAAATAGTCATAAAATTTGCCTCTACATTCGACAGCATGGGTGCCTCTAACAGGTTCACAGTTTAGAGCAGCGCTCCCTTGCTCAGGTTCATTACCTCCTTTCTCATCATTAAATTTTGCTTTTTCCTGATTACTGTGAGACCTGCCATTAGTGATGAATATTTCATTAGCAGGTATCTGGTCATCACTTCTGTAAGAAGGTGCACTGCCAACGTCATAATCCACCTGCTGGGAACAGCTTGGCAAAGAAATGGGGGGGGAAGAGGAGGAAGAGGAGGAGGAGGAAGAGGAGGAAGTATTTTCTGTACCAGCATTAACAGAGTAGGGTAGATTTAAATAGTGACTGCCACATTCTTGATAGAAGCAGCACATGTGGAGCTTCTCATACTCCTCCTTTGCCATCCGAAGGCGTTTTCTGTATGGACAGTCCTGAGGCACAAACCACTCTTGTGGTGAGGTGCCACTGAAGGAGCAGGTGGAGAAGCACCAATTGTTCTGCATGATGATCTCTCCATGAATTCTCTTCATTAGATTGTTGATGAGGACGGATCTCCGCAGGTAGACTTCAGGATCGTCAATGAATTTCAGCTTTTCCAAAGACATGTAAAGAATATGGGCCCGCTCCTCAAACACGGAGATTGTCTGAAAATGCAAAAGATACAAGATATAGAACTGAAGGCAACTGGTTTTTTTCCAGGCAAGGAGAAAGACAATGAAGCAAAGTATTCCCTCTGTGTCACTACTTTACTATTCTCTTTCTGAGGCACCTAGGGCTGGCTTTTCATTTTGCACACCCATGTGCCTGGGAACCTGCTTTTTCTTGGCCACAGCATTCACCCAGGCTTAGGAGGTAAGTAGCTGAGTGTTACACCACAAAGGCAATTGCAAGGCATGAATCCAGGGTGGGAAAGTGAAATCCAGATGCACACATTTGGTTTTTCAATTACATTTGGGGTTAGAACATAATATTGTTGTGCAGTTTCGCTCCAGTAATGGCTGGGGGATTTTTGTTGCAAATGGACCCAATTCCATCATCCCCTGTGGGGTTTCTACACAGCTCTGAAGCCAAGTGAGGGTCCCTCCTGCAGCGTCAAGGTTTGCAAGACGCAGCCAGCAGCCACTGCCTCATGCAGCAAGTGTTGGAGCATTTCATCCACTGCCAGTGGAAGAGGCCCTCCAGCGAGGAGGTCTCCATTTGCCAGGCTCTCTTACACTGCTCTTGTGTACAAAAGTGCATGCAGGGAGGGAGGCAGGGAGAAACCCATCTCAAAGCATCACAGCATCTGGAGAGCAGCTGTTGGCCTGTGTACTACACCCTGCGCTCTGTGGGACCGGTGGGAACACAGATAGGCAGGGACAAGGTCAGGAAACGAAGAGAGGATAGGAATTTGCAGAAATCCTGGCTCGACGCCCACAGATTTGTTCTCCCTTCCATGGTCCTTCCAGGACTCCCTTTCTCAGCACTGGCAGCATAAGCAGGTTACTGCCCCCAGGAGGCCCCGGATTCTGCATTGTAATCGCTACCCTGGGAATCAAAATAAGAGAGGGGGCAACGCATGCTACTGTAAGCAGTATTAACTAATTTTCATTTTTAGTAAGAATTTGGTTTGCGTAGGAGGAGAAGGAGCATAGCACAAAGAGAGACTGCTCTAAATCCCCCCCATCTGTGGCTTGATCATTCTTCCCTTTCCCACATGGTTACAGCATTTTTGCAGAGTGGAAGTCGTAGCTATGAGGACTAAAAGAGCTTAAAGCACAGCTGCTTTTCACATCCATTCAGCTCTCCTCAGCCCTCTAGCTCTTTCCACAGCCTGGTCATGTCTGCGAGGCTTAGAAGCAGCACAGTGCCTCACAAAAACAAAAATTGGCCATAATTTCTTGCAAGTTCACAGCTGAAGCTCTTTGCTAGAGAGAGTAATTTTCTATAATAAATGACTCATTTTAAAGTATATTAAGCCTATAGGTTAATTTGGGTCCTTTATACCTGCTGCAGCAACAGTCTGTGAAGCCATAAAAGCCTGGAGCAAACCAGTAAGCCTTGAACTGGGATTCTCCTGGAGATACATCCTGGAGAGACACCAGTAGGTACAAGTTGTCAAAGGCTTTCTACTACACATTTGCCAGCAGCCCTCTGGAAAGTGAATCTGGGCCCTACCATCATAACCTCTATGGGACAAGTAATCTCAGCACATAACTCTTTACTGGGCAGCGAAGGTATAAGCACGTAAGAAATTCAAGGAAACCTGGTGGGCATCCTCCCTCTGCCAGAGCTTAGTGCTGCAAAGCAAAAAATGTATTTGGGCCAAACTGAAGAAATTGGTGACACAGGGTTTCTGAGGTGATACACCTCTACAACAGCACAAAACCGTGGTTGGGCCTAGTTTACCAGTACCCCTACAACTGTTTTTTATTGCTGTTTGAAAGGGCTAAGAAACTATTCCTCCTCCTCTTTGCAAGGAAATTAATCATCGAAACAAAAATCCAACAATCTAGTAAAAAAGAACAAAACTGTCTGAAATTGGAGAGTGATGAGACATGTGAAACATGCTCACTAACCAGAGCACATTTTTCAACACCCTTGGTGCTGTTTATTCAGTGCTCTGGCAGCAAACTGGATACTTTCTGAAATTAACAGTGGGGCAGTTTTTCACTTTCCCAGTCCAGGTACCACTTGCAGACAACTCCTACTTGTAGCCTTGAGGTACTCTAAGGTCCTTGGAAACTGAACTCAGCACTACTGCTCCTTCTGCTCTGCAGAAATCCCTCCTCTATCACCAATAGAACATGGGTAGCAGTGGTCTGCCATGGGCCAGGTACAATCCAACAAAGTCAGGGTGGTGTCTCAAAGCACGAGCTATCCCCAAGCACTTCATCCCAGGTCTTCAGTTCCAAGCAGGACTGAACCCTTAATGAAGAGGAGCATAAAAATCTCTCACAAAAAAGTTAGATTTAAATTTGTGTATTTGTTAGCCTGGGAAACATTTGTTCTAATCCCTCCCTTGAAAACTTTCATTAAAAAAAATATTCTTTCATCTACTAATCTGGTTTTTTTGAGTTATTAGTTTTTTAATAAACAGGATTAAACACTGAAGGAACTTGTACTTGCTTTCCAAGTCACTCTGCTTTTCTAGAGGACCTGTAACCCGTGTGGGGTATATGGAACCTCTTACTATTTTCCCCCCGGAAAAAAAGTTTTGAATGAGTGGGGAATCTTTAACTTATGTTCTTCCCTTCTGCTGTTCAAATGCTGTTACAGAGCTCTTTCTGAAAGCATGACATAAACTAGCTAAGAACAAAATAGTCTGAAAAAAAGTTATTCTCAGCATTTCTATTTACAGTTGTTATTAACGAAGAAACGCCTTTGCTTCTTAAGCAGTTCGATGACAATACAACAATAAATGTGAAGAAGTGGCAACTATTTGTTTCTGAGCAAGCAGCTGGATCATTCTCCTAATTTCAGCAGAGTATTTCAGGCTTCTGGAAATGGGTCAATTGAGTGTTACTAAGCATCTGAAACTCGGAGTAAAAATAATGACTATTAGAAGACATACTTTATGTGTACAGCTGCTGAGTGGTGGATGAAAATCCTCTTCTTCCACATATTTCCTTTTAAAGTATGTGATCTTGGATGTTGTTACAGGATTTGAAATTCCCCTGTAATGTGATCCTGTGGGTAATAAATCAGATATGACAAATGACATGCGGTTTGCCGGAGGTTCTCCAAACAAAATACTTTTCATTTCCCTTCGCGCTACAGGAGAACTCCGCCGCATATTTTCGCATCTATTCGCAGCGATCAGAAATAAACCCTCGCCTAACTAACACATCGCCCGCCAGCCGCCCGGGGACCGATGTGACGGGCAGCGGGGGGAGCCGGGGCCGCCGCAGGGCGCTCGCTGCCGGAAGAACTTTGCCACCTCCATCGCTCCGAGGATGGCCGGTGCGAACGCCGCGGCCCCCGCGCGGCCGCGCGCCCGCTCCGGACGCCCCGCCCCCGCGCCCGCCGCCGGCCCCTCCCCGCCGGCAGACCTTGCGTGCCCCGGTGGCCGCCGGCCGCGCCCCGCCGGGGCGGAGCGCCACCTGCGGGGGGCCCGGGGGCCGCCGGGCCGGGGCGGGCCGGGGGGCGGGCGGGGCGGGGCGGCCGCAGCAGGGCGGCTCCCAGAGGGCGCGGTAGGCGGCGAGGTCGGCGGCTCCCTCGGCGGCGATGGGCGGCCTCAGCCGCTGCATGGGCAGCACCAGGGTCATCGCGGGCGCCGGCACCTGGAAGCGAAGCAGCGCGGTGACCGCCCGCCGCCCGCCACTGCCCCCCGCCCGCGGCGTCCGCCCCCGCGCCCCCGGCAGCCAGACCTCTGCGCACACGTATATTAAAAACATACGCATGCCGATATCGCAGAGACGCACGTTTTCTTTTCCCCCTTCTTGCGGAAGGAAAACGAGCGGAGCCCTCTGTCACAAAGGGCCGGGGTCCCCCCGCACCGGGGAGTCGGTGCGCGCCCCCCAGCGCCGCCCCCGCCGCCGCGCTCCGCCTGCCCCCGCCGCCCCGGCGCCGCCGGCGGCGTCACACACCGGCACGGATCCGCTCACTGGCTTCCCATTTCCTCCTCCGGCGGTGCTGGCACGGCGCGTTCGGCACCGGAGGGGGTGCGAGTCTGCCTGTCTGGGTGCGTGTGTGTGCGGTGCTTGTGTGTGTGTGCGGTGGGGTGTGCGTGTGTGCCTGTGTGTGTGAGAGAGAGAGCGCCCAGCAGTCCGGGATCGCGTTCCTTTCTTCTTTCTTCCCTCCCAAACGACACAGACAGCGGAGACTTAGGTAGTTGTTTCCACTAGCCCCGATCGGACTGAACTGGATCTGCCTCCAGTCAAAACACTGCGAGACTAAGACAGAAAATTGGCTCCGGTTTCACGCCGTGAGTTGCGGTCCCACCGGAGCCAAGCACAACATCGGCGGAGCGGGCGGAATATTAAGCAGGAGCGGGGACTCCGGGGCCAGCTCCGGGCTGCGAGCTGCCTCCTGCCGCGCCAGCGGGCGGGAGGGGAGGGGAGAAGGGGGGGAAGGCGGCAAACTTTCTGCGAGGGGCGAGGGATGAGTTCATCATAGTCACCTACTTCTTGGCAGAGGAGCGCGGAACAATGCGCCCAGACACAGCCCGACTCCTCCCTCCCCTTCCTCCTCCTCTCTCTAAGAAAGCGGGATGTAGTTTCTCCTCGGCGCAACCCTCCCGGAGGAAGACGAGGGCCCGAGCAGGCGGCGGGAGGGAGGGGCCGCAGGTGGGCAGGTGGAATTTCAGCAATTGTTTGTGTTAGCAGCTGAGCGCTCTCGAACAAGAGGAAAAAATAAACCGCAGCAGAAGAGGGAGGAAAAATAAATCCTTCACATCTGCCAGTTGTTTTCTTAAATCCTGTAAGAATGCAAAAGACTGCTACTTTATTAAGAAACGGCTTCCAGCATGCACTGTCTGTGTCTTGGATGCATGCGTGCATGGGTCTGCTCTGCCTCCTCACTGAGGCAAAAATGGGAGGCGAAGGGACAGTCAGCTGAGTCCCCAAGCAGTTTGCCTGAGTAAAGGTCACCAGACCTCGTTGCAATCGGACTGACCCTTCCTCAGAGTCAATTTACTGCTAAAGCACTGTATGTACCCCTCAGTCACTTTCTTGCAGTAGCCCCTTCATGCCATCTTGCTTTTTCTAAGATGCCATCGTGCTTTTTGCCAAGAAGCAACACAGGGACTGGCAAGCCACTGGACTGGCCCACTGGAAGTTATCCCTGACACAGATAGACAATATATATTATTTATTCCCCACACCTTTTGTTACCAGATGACTACCAATACATGAAAGGAATGGTCAAAACAAATGGGTCAGTCTGCTGACCTAACAGCAGGGCCAAAAATTGGTCCAAGAAGCAGCTAAAAAGTCATATATTTTGTGTCTGAAAAGATTACGCCATCATTAGAAAGCACCAATGGACTCTTCTCATTAATCTGCACTGAGGAATCATTCACAGGGACACATCAATCTTCTCATATTGGCATGATGTCAACACTCAGTGTTTGTCCTGAGAGAATAAAGGTTGGAAGAAACTCGCTGCTGCTTCGGGAAAGTCAGGGTTTCTTTGCTCATAATGAATTCAGCATCTCTTTGTGGATTTTTTTTTTTTTTGGTAATGAGAATCAGAGATTTAAGCTGTGCATCTTTTTCTTACCATATTTCATCACAAATAGGTCTTGCTATGCTCAAGCAGCAACACGCAGGAAGGAAGGAAGGAAGCGTTGGGATGCCTTCTGCACAGTGCTGCTAATTTATCTTGAAAAGCTGAGTTCTCTGGACAGCCAGTAAAGTAAATGAACTGCTTCTGCTATTTACAACATGCAAAATGAATAGAGGCAAGCCAGTTCACTTCCATAAACAGCTACTGTCCATGCACATTCTCCATGTTTCCAAACTGTATAAAACCAAGGCATAAATTATAGAGCTTCCCTGGGAGAAAAAAAAAACACACAACAAACAAAAACCAACCACCCACCAGAAAACCAAAGCCCCAAACCAAGTTTGTAGGTCTCAGCATGTGTTACAAAGCTTTACAGGTGGCACTCAGCTACAAAATAGGTCCCATTTTGTAGCAGAGGGGTTGCTTTAGCACACAGAAGCTGAGAACCAGGCTTTTTAAAGGGCTCATGACTGGGCATGCTATTTGTTCCCCTTGGATGTTCAAAAGCACTGATTTCCAGCTGCTGCAAATGAGTGGGAAGGAAGCTACAAGCACTCAGCATATGGGAAAAGTCAGCCTCCTTGAAGGTAAAGTTGGACATGGCAGAATTGTAACCTGGTGTTTACTGAGAAAGAACTACCAGACCTAACTCCACAAACAGGATCTCTGGCACTGCTCCTGAAGAGCCAGCCTACTGTTTTTCCCCATTAAGGGTGGCAAAATCGACTCCTGAGTATCTTGCCAGAAGTCACACAGCAAATCAGTGTCAGAGCCAGAAATAGAACCAAATCTCATCGTCCTCCAGCCTTAAGCCCAACCCATTTATATTACATTATCTTATGCAATGGAGGGATTTCATCCAAAATCCCGTTGGTTTCAATGAGACTTTGCAGAACAGCACACATATTGTTACATTTCCATTAGCACCTCTGGAAATAAAGGATGAAAGATGTACATTTGAGCATACAACACATTTACTATACAAAATTACAGCAAAAGGTTGACACTTAGGGCTGGATTCAATTTTGAAAAATCCATTTGGGAGCCTTGTGTGGGCTTCAGTGGCATGGAAGCCAGGCATAGTTTTTTATTGAACCCAGCCCTCCATCCTTAGGCTACCACAATTTTTCCATTTTGTCAGCCAAATGTGTGTAGTGTGAGGACACCCCGGGGCATCTACAGCAGCCTGAAGGTTAAAATGCCAAACTTTTTCTGTACTCAGTTTCACACAGTAAGACTACTATACATTGCCACTACTCCATTTGCTGGGGTTTTCACTCCCTATTCCTCCAGAGCCATTATGATGTTAATGAGAGAACTGTAATGATGCCATTCACATTATAACAAGCCTGATGCCGATGTCAGAGAAAGGAGCTTTTTATACAGTTCCAGAATGTCTCTAAAAACCCAAACTTAAATATAAAATGCCCATGACTATAAAGCTGCAGGTCTCACCAAGACCAATAAAAACAAGGGAACAGACTTAAGATGTCTATTCCTTGTTTAACTCCTGGGTTTGTACCCAAATACTGCAGTGGTTTCAGTCCTTATATATCGTGCAGTGTTTCCATTGCATAACAACATGACTTGGGGACAGAATAGCAGTTCTTAGCTGTACTATACCATTGTTAACATCTGGATCGCAGTGCTTAGAAAACAAAATTGCCATCGTTATGATAGCTGTTACCGTTCTGGTGTTACAGAAAATTTACAGTGCAGAAGCAATCAGGAATCCCACTGCACAGAGGCTGTGCAGACCCACTGTCTAAGACAGCAAGAGACAGCTGGTGAGAGGAAGAGGAAAGGCACAATCACATACCCAGACTGATGTACCTCCCTTAGCAAAAAAACCCACTGCATCACCTGTAAACAATTCCAGGCTAACCTCATTGCAACTATCTACTCTTTATGGTTGATGCAACAAAGTTTGCTATCACCAACTGAGCTGAAGGAGGCAGGGCATCCTGTGGACAAGAGCGTCATGGAAGAGGGCATAAAGGCTCCCCTGGGAGCAGCAGATAAAGGCATGAGGATGCCAGCATTACTGGCAAAGAGAGCAGAGCTGTGCTGTAGAGACAATGGTGGACTGATGACAGCTACAGCGGAACTGTCACAACCTCACATGTGAAAATAAAAGACTAGATGGAGGCAAATAAGGAGGAAAGGCAGGAGGTGGCTTGGCTCTGACCACAGCAGCAGACAGGGAAGAGGATGTTGGGAGCTTGTGTTTAAATAGATCGAACTGCCTGATATGTCACAGGTTCAAGAAGGAGGAAGCTATGGAGATGGGAGACAATGAGGGCCTTGATTAAAAAGTTTATTGTCTGGCTAGATATGCACAGAGTTGTAGTAGTGCTATGAATGAAGCAGTGTAAATGCTGGGGACACTGAATCGCAGCACACTGGGACAGCCCAGTCACATTAAACGAAAGCAAAGGGTCAAAGATGATCCCTGTGCTCAGGGCTCTGGAGGCAAGGTGAGCAGCAAGGCTGCAAGAACTGAAATGGCCTCTAGAATTGGCCATGCTGGATTTAAATTGAAAACTGTATTTCCAAGAGACAGACAGTGGTTGGGAGCAGACATGGAGATTTTCTTTCCTTCTCTTGTTGATACAGAATAGCTGAGGAGAACTGCACTGTGCCAGTGCAGAGCAGTCCCTGGTCTGCAGTGAGGGAGATGCTGAACCACAAGCCAGAGACAGCAAGGAGGTGGCAGAGGGAAGAGGGGAATGAGGACAGGTGGCAGCAAGAGAGTGTGAGCCCCAGGCAATGATGATTATCTGTTTCTTCAGCTGTGCCTCCTACCAGACATGCATAACACTATCTAACAGAAGCATGATACAAGGGTGAAATGAAAGGGTTAAGGCTGGCTGAAATAACTAGACTGGTAGAACAACAGGTCGGTGTGCCAACAGGGTCAATTCAGCTTTTCATCCTTTGGAGGTATAGATAAACCTTAGATGTGCCAAGTCTAGTGTTTTTCCCTGTATTTCTTGGCCCTCACTTCAGGGAATTTCAAGAAATCCACTGTTTTTTTCTT